AAAATACAAGAATTTGTTTCGGTCGAGATAAAATGAAAATGAATTATTCGAAGAAAATAAAATTCCTAGTAGGCCTGAAAAAAGAAAATTTCATCAAAACCTGCACTTTCCAGCAGCTAAAATTGTGTTGTTTAAAGTCAAGAGGAGTGGCAAATAAACTGAGATACAAACTTTATCGAATAGTGGCGGATAACGAGTTTGCGGGTCTATTTAAATTAATAAATTGCTAAAAATAAATTTAAGTCAACATCGTTTTACTTTAACATGAAATACTCAGTCCTAGTTTACTAAAATCCCAAAAATGTATATTCATTAAAAAGAACATACTTAAGAAAATAAGACCGAAATGGTATTTTAGCAATTGTTGCATAAATCACATAACAGCGACAAATTAAACATTGAGCTTCAGTTTCAAATATACAAGTCTAAATATTATTGCGCTTGGTAATTTTCCAAATCAAACCCCGTACCGCCCTACACTTTGATTTAAATTTTTTAGTTGTTATTGTTTCGTCTTTATCAGGCATTTCTAAAAATATTTTTGACGTTGTTTTGAAATTTGGCGACATAAAATAGTGTAATTAATATTTTCTAGAATATGGAAATAATACACTGTGCGTCCTGAATAAAAAAAAATGTTAATGTATGTACATTAGACTGCATCACCAAAAAAAGTTGCGGTTGTTCCGCCAGAATTACAAAATATATTATATTTTAAGACGTCCACCAAAATATTTCGCAAAAATATTAAGATTTAAGTGAGCTGGACCGATTTGAAAATACCTCCAAAAATGGAGTTTTTTATGAATAAAAATAGTTTCTTAAAGAACTTTTTGTAAAAAGTCCCCTCAGATGACAAAACAGATTACGCTTAAAAAATCTGCATGAAAATATTTAAAAATATTTTTAACGGAATCGCAAGAATGAGATTTTTGATGCTGTTTTTTACATTTTTCACAGATTGGTTTACGAAAAACATGAATAACTAGGCCAAAGCTATTCTATTCAAAAAACAGCATCATAAATCTCATCATGACGATTCCGTTCAACATTTTTTTTAATTTTTTTTTTTAATATTTGTATGCAAATTTTTTAAGCTTAAACCGTTTTGTCAGGGGGATTTTTTAAAAAAAAAATCTTTAAGAAACTATTTTTATTCATAAAAAACTCTATTTTTGGAGGTATTTTCAAACGTGGACGTCTTAAAATATAATAGATTTTATAATTCCAATGGAAAAAGAGTACCGATTTTTTTGTATGGGGAGTGATGCAGTCTAATGTACATATCTACATTCATACATATGTACATGCATATATACACACATGATAAAAACATTACAAGGTAAAATCATTGAGAGGCAGTCTGACGTTTGCCAACAATATAATTTTAAAATTCGAGCTCAGGCTCACACACACATTCTCATTTTCAATCTCAAACAACAACAATTGTGAACAATTTCATTTTTTTTATTTTCAATTTTATATGATTTTAAAATGTTTGCAAACGTCAGAAGAAAATCATGGCCGACGAATTGAGAGAATGGTTGTACCTTCTAATGTGTTTATCATGCATACACATAACTTTAATTACCCTGCAGAAAATTTGACTAGCTCAGAACTAGCGTAGAACTAGACCTTTTGCTGACAGTACTAGTTCTAGCTCAATACCCAAGCAATGCTTTCACTGTCCAGTTTTACACCGCGATGGATGTCATTGGCAGTGGCAATCGTCGTCCAGTGCAGTACTTTGCACCTAGTTTTTAACCAGTCCCGTTTTGGAAAGTTTTTTATAAGAAACCATTTTTTAGATTCGATTTTTTTGATATTTTTTTAGTTTCCTTCTTTTCTGTTACAGATTTCATTTTTGTTACATATTTTATTTAAAAAAAATATTGTAAGCTGCAAATTTTCACTTATACGAGATTGCCGTTGGTAGAAAGAGATATAAAATCACACCGACAAGGGAAAAGTACTAAATTTTTTCCGATGGCACATTAGGTCAAATGATTTTTTTTTATGAGCGAAATTCATAGCAGCTGAAATATTGCATTATTTTAATGTAAACTAGTGTTCGCCCAGCGGTTGAAATTCAACCGCTAAAATTAAGGATAGTTTATGTGAGTTGAGTTGAGCTGAAATAAAATTTGTTGGAATGGGTTAAGTGGAGGGGAGTTTAGCTTAGTACTTAGCATAACATAACATAGAATAGCATTAGATTCAATAACATAACATATGTAGCATAACACATCACAATATAACATCGCACATTCTTCAGTTGTATTTCCTTTTTATCCCTATCACTTTCTTCCTCTCTATCTTTGTCTCTATCGCTTTTAATGTTTATGTTTATGTTTATATTTATCTACACCTTCATATTCATGTTCATGTTCATGTTCATGTTCATGTTCAAGTTCATGTTCATGTTCATTTTCATGTTCATGTTCATGTTCATTTTCATGTTCATTTTCATGTTCCTGTTCATGTTCATGTTCATGTTCATGTTCATGTTCATGTTCATGTTCATATTCATATTCATCTTCATCTTCATCT